GGGTATTGAACATATTTTTTCTCCTACAAATTTATCAAATTACATTTTTAAAAGGTTCTAAAAGTAAAAAGAAAAGGTAATTATTGAAAACTATTTGTGACTCATATATAATTTTTCTTCTGAAGCATAAACCAAAATTGTAGTTTTTTTCTTTAGAGAATGTTTTGGCCGTTCCTTCCACAGTTTTGCTCATTCGAATGTGAGCGATTTTATCCAGAGCGGTATTCTTTTCATACACTAGTATCTGAGGCCAACCACTAATGAGTGTCTCCTGGAGTTCCTTTGCTCGGCCTAGTCATTATTTTTTCCCTCGAAGTCTAACGAGGAACAAATCCGGCGTGACCCCGACTTCACTGTTCAGTTGCTGAAAGCCACAAGTTAGTCAAGCCGAGCTTTGTTTTGTTTTATATTTAGGATCAGGCAAAAGAGAATCAAAAGCCGTTCCAGTTGAGTTTGAGTCATTTGGAGTTCAAACGGGGATAGTGGTCCATGAGGACCAGGATTGGACGACCCTGATCTAATGTCTTCTAATGTTGACCACAAGATGCCCCTGATCGTAGACAAAGTGAAGCTTTAATTTTTTTTGACACAATCAGGAGAGGTTCAGAGCTTTATGAGGCTTCACCTGCCCATCACTGGTTGTCCCTCAGAGTTTCATCACCTTCATTCGGGCTCTGCTCCTCAATCTGGCTCCTCCCACTCACACCTGTTCCCCATTCATATTAGTCTCAGCTGTAAGACATTTACTTCCTCAGTCCCAGCCTTTTCATTGTTTAGTTAGCTTTTAGTTTTTACTGCCACGTTAGCCTTTTGTTTGGCTGTTGTTCAGTAAATCATTTGTTATTTTACTCCTCGTAACAGTCGTCTTTCCTGGGTCCTCTTTTTTAGGTACACATTTTTTTTTTCAGTCCTCGGTGTATTCCAGTCAGATTTTTTCAGTACGACGTAGCAAAGAAGTTAATCTTTCACCACATTTCTGATCGAATGGATTCTGAATGGATTTCTTCTTGCAGTTTATTGGTGATGAAAATGACGCTCTAGTTCAACAAACTTCAAAACTTTACAGCATCCGATCAAAAGTAGATGGCATCAAAACATTGTATTTTGTCTAAATATTGGCTGACTTTCATAATAATTTGATTGGGCGAACATGGTTTTTTTAAAGGCCTCAAAGGTGAAAATGCTGTGGCAGTAACTAAACAAAATAATTGTTTTCTCTTTGATCCTTTTTATTTGCATCTAGTTTTAATATTAGTGTCTATTTCTGGTGCATGATGGTTTTAAAGCGTGCAGTTTTGGTTAGTTATTAATAAATTAATGATTAATGAATGTAGGTAACCAATGTTAAGAGCGTTCCATGTCCTACTGTTAACAATTTCATCCAATTTTCTCAAGAAATATAGAAGTTGTGCCCATTTGTTGTTGCAGAATCTTCACAAGTTTTCTAGGTTGTTGGCAGGAAAAAAAATAGAGCAATTTGTCAATACTAAAATGGACTTGACTTCTTTATTACATCAATATTTCAATCTTTTAGTTGTTTCAAGCTCTATTGCACTTGTAACCCATGCTTCACTCTGGATGTTGATATATTCAAGGGTCAAAGTTGAACAAATCGGCTCATGAAGTGATCTGAAGTGTTTGCTCAGCTTTTCTGTCCTATCAGGTCTGTAGAACCGCTGTTATTAAATTATGTAAATAATAGACGGGAAAGTGTTTTTACAATTATGCAAATTGGCCTGAAGGTGATTCTGTTTGGTTTACCTGACTGTCTGCCGCTTTTTGTCTCACGTTTATTGCAAGGTGGGACTGTCTATCCCTCTGTCTGTTAGCAAAATATCTCCTGAATTTTAATTCAACTCCTAAGAATTTATCATCACATGAGCATCTACAGCTGGATAATCAATCTTAGCAAACACAAGAAGGGCTATATCATCATTTATGCAGCTATTGAGCTAAAATGTGGTGTGGTAGTAGCTGAGAATACTCCCCAGCACTTTCTCTGTACGTGCCTTTGTTGGATCTCTGTGTCAACGTCTCTGTTCCCCTCCGTCTCGTCCCTCCAGGAGGACAGCTCGGACCTGAAGTGTCAGCTCCACTTCGCCAAAGAGGAGTCGGCTCTGATGTGCAAGAAGCTGAGCAAGCTGGTGAGGGACAGCGAGGCCATGAAGGAGGAGCTGGCCAAGTACCGGTCACTATACGGAGACGTCAACGCCTCGCTGACCGTGGAGGAGGTGAGAGGACGAGGAGGTGGTCGGAGGGAGCTGTTTTACATCCGCAGGAGGGATGTTGGAGATTCATCGGTTAAGGAGCACGCTGAGGCCGAGACGAAAAGGAAGCGTCACCAGCAGCTCTCTGAACTGTGGGAAGAAGTTGTTAAACTTCACCTCTTTTCTCCCTGTTCTCTGAAGGCACTTTAAGGGAAATCAAACACTAAATATTCTGCTTTTTTACAGCCTTTAAGTCTTTATTGCCTAATGTTTATGGCTGAAATAAAACAGTCATCAGGATATTAAATCGGTTGGAGTCTGAGAGTGATCACTTCTCTACCAATGAAAACCTTAAATAACCTTTGGCAAGATTTTACAGAAAAGCTTTGCAGAGAGGATTTTTTTAAACAAGTTTATCCCTCGTAGTTGTGTTTTTTTTTTATTGTTGAAGCCCCTAAAATGGCGGTACACTGCTAAAACTGTCCATCTTACCAAGTTTTAAAATCTTATATCCAGCCAAAAAGTCTTTTTGATCTTGTTTTGAGACTGATTTACTAAACAAGAACTGATTGTGTAAGAATAATAATCTTGTTTTCAGAATGTGTAAGATAAGAAAAAATTGAGTCAAATCAAGTATTTCAAGAATCTTACCAAGTAAAATTTCCTTACTCCATTGGCAGAAAATTTTGACTTAATTTGAGTCAAATTTTCAGTCTAACAAGACAAATAATCTTACATATTCTGAAAACAAGATGATTATTCTTACACAATCAGTTCTTATTTAGTAAATCAGTCTCAAAACAAGATCAAAAAGACTTTTTGGCTGGATATAAGATTTTAAAACTTGAATCGATGGACATGTTTTGCAGTGTATTATGTATTGTCCAGGCACATAATTTAATTTTATACCACCATCAAGTAACTATGTTACCTTCATTTGTTATGAAAAGGCTAAAACTTTGGGATGCACTGAAATGAAAACTTCAGCCAATATCGATACCCGATATAATTTTTGCTGTCAAGGCCGATAAGAGATATTTACCGATATTACACAAACACACAAATTATATTATACATATACGCACAAACACACCTGGGTCTTTTTTGATACAGTAAATAAAAGACCAGACGTCTGACATGGCTCACTAATTCAGTTATTCCTGGCTGCGCAGCATCAAAATCACTATCATGATCAAACAGATGCAGCTCAACCAACCATCTCCCCTCCCAGAACAGAAACACAAAGATAAAAAGTGGGAAATCAATATAGATGTTAATATCGGCTCAGTTTTACAGATATCGATGTGTATGTAAAATGACCATTATCGGCCGATACTGATATTAATGCCGATACATGGTGCATCCCTACTAAAAATAAATTTAACTTTACATCTAAACGCCTTGATATTTCCCTCTGTCTCTTTAAGAAACTCCTCTCATTAGGACTGCAACTAACGATTATTATAGTAATCGCTTAATCAATCTATAATTTTTTTGATTAATTGACTCTTCATTCCAAAGTAGACCATTTGGACTGACAGAAAATCTAACAAAAAACAGGTTGCTGTTTGAGAATTCTGTTACTGTAATATTAAATTGTAATGCATAAATAAGTAAATATTTGTTAAATGGCTTTAGTAAAAAAAAAAATGAAAGTACACAACAATATACACAAATGTGTGCTATATCCTTGAAAGTCTCTTCATGTTTTCTCTGCATGAGCTTTGTAAAAGGTGTCCTTGAGGGATGAGTGTCAGCTGAAATAAAAGTGTGAACTGTTGTTAGAGGGGGGCTCGGAGCTCGGCTGCAGACTGAGCTCCAGGGAGGAGCTGGGTATGGTAGGCGGAGCTTTGTACCTGCAATGTTTAGGCAGCTCCACATGGCTACCACAGGAGAGTCGAGGATTTCTCCAACATTCGTGAACGAGTCAAAGCAACACTCCGGGGATGGTTTGGATGAAGCATGATATAAAGCTCAAAAAAGTTGATTTAGCCCCTCCCGTCTTCAATGATGCTAACAGCCTGGTGATTAGGTAAAAATAATAAAATCTTCTTTGACTCTGCAGGTTGCTGACTCCCCGCACACCAGGGAAGCAGAGATCAGAGTTCACATGAAGCTGGTGGAGGAGGAGGCCAACCTGCTGAGTCGGCGCATCGTGGAGCTGGAGGTGGAGAACAGAGGCCTCCGGGCGGAGATGGACGACATGAAGGGAACACAAGGTTGCTTTTAGCTGATTTGTTATAAAGTTTTGAGGGGTTTTTTTTGTCAATTGGAAAAACAGTCTGACCTCTGGCTGCATTTTCATCCCTAGATGGACCTCAAGATCTCACAGGTATCGGCGGTAGTCCGGTGGCAGGGCTTGGTCTCACGGGAGGGGCCTCGGTGCTTGGGGGCGGGGCCACGTCTGAAAACGTCATGGAGCTCCAGAGACACCTGCAGTTTGTCGAGGAGGAAGCGGAGCTTCTGCGACGGTCTCTGATCGAGATGGAGGAGCAGAACAAGCTCCTGATGAACGAGATCAACCGCTACAAGTCCGAATTCCCCCCGGCGGCGTCCACCACGTCGTCCCACTCGCTCCTGTCCCTGACGGACGGGCTGCTCCACGACGGCCCCCCGCGCTCCATCCAGGACGGGGCGGTGCTCATCAGCACGGACGCCCCCGCCCACGAGGAGGAGCTCCGAGCGGCCAGGCTTCAGGTGGGGGAGCTGAACGGGAAGGTTAAGAAACTTCAGTACGAGAACCGCGTTCTTCTGTCCAACCTGCAGCGCTGCGACCTCGCCTCCTACCACGCTCCTTCCTCCTCCTCCTCGTCGTTAAGACTCGCTCTGGAGACGGACGCAGAGGCAGGAGACTCAGCCGAATGTCTCCCGTTCAGGTAATTCTATATTTTCTTGTTTTATCATGAACAATGACAGTGACCTTTAGTTGTCCTGATTCTTTTACCCACCTGGAGCTGATTTAAGGGAAGTGATTTTTATTCACGTCTTCAGAATATTCTGAACAAGTTGAATGAAGCTGAAGGAAAACTATGCAAAGTAAATAACATTTAGGACATGTTTGAAGAGAATAACACAGCTACAATATTTACTGCATTCATCAACTCATTTTGAAAAGAACCAAATACTAATTAGCTTCAGCCTGTCCACCTGTGCTCTATACCTTAAAATGAGAAACAAACAGAAACTGCACCTAATGAGGAAGATAGATGGTGAGAAAAAAGGGCATCTGGAGTGAAATGTTTTCCTCCAGCTGTTCCACAGAAACCCAGAGGAACCTGACTTCATCAAATGTAAACATCCAATACTTACTGTTTATTAAAGTTATTTTGTTTGAAATTAAACAAGTAAAAATCCAGGAAAATATTAGAACAAAATGGTCAGTTTAGTTTTAAGTACTCAATATACATTTACCTATAGAGGGTTAGGGCCTCAGAGGAATTTAAAAACGTTTTGTCCTCAGTTCAGATTTAGTTTTTTTCCCCCAGAATTCTGATTTTTATTTTATAAATCAAACTTTTTTTTTCTCATTAAAAAAATCTGAATTCTGAGATTAAAGTCAAAATTCTGAAAAAAAAAGTAAGAACTCACTCAGGAAAAATTAACTTTTTGTAATCTCTGAATTCTGACTTTTTATTCCCACAAAGTAAAAACTGATTTTTTTTATCTCAGAATTAGAAAAAAAAAGTTTGAATTTAGAAAAAAAAACCTGTTTTGTAATTTTAGAATTTTGACTATTTTTTCTTTTTTTTCCCGGCAAAGCACAGTCAGAATTCTGACTTTTCTCTCAGAATTAGGAAAAAGTCAGAATTCTGAGATTAAAGTGAGAATTATAAAACAACAACAAAAAAAGAAGAACTCAGGAGAAAAACTTTGATGTAATCTCAGAATTCTGACTTTATTTTACTCAGAATTAGAAAAAATGTCTCTGTAGCCCTAATCCTCTTCCAGATTTACCAGTATTTGTGAAGGTTTGTTTTGTCCATTAAAAAAAAAACTTTTCTAAAACCTCTTTTAATAACCTGGAGGTTAACGAGAGCTTTCTGCGCGTCTCTTTCAGCTCGCCGCATCGCAAGGAGCCCGTGGGCGGAGAGAACGAAGCCATGGAGGTCGACGAACAGAGAAAGCGGCTCGAGGACAACGCCGACCCAGCGACTTCGCTCCCAGGGTGCCTGGGGCAAAAGGACCGCGATGCCTTGCTGGCCATGAGGGACCAGGCTCGTTTGGTTTCCACGGCCATACAGCTCCTGACCTCCCCCGAGTCCAACTGCCTGTCCTCGGCCCCTTCGTCGTATCACAAGGCCTGCAACGATGACGCCGCAGAGCCGTGTGAGAAAGCTCAGCCGCACTGCCAGGTACAAGTTCTCTGTTTGCTCATCATCATTCATCAAATCTTCATGTTCTCACTGCCAGGACTGACCAGCAGTGAAATTTATATTGATTATTATTATTATTATTAATTTATTATTATTATTTTCTTTTCCTTCAGATTTCCGAGCTGTCTGATTTGACGGACCGCCCTCTGGTGGGCGCTCTGACCAGCAGGCTTCAGGCCCTGCACTCCCAGCTGCAGGCCTTTGTGGAGCAGGTCGACGCCCTGGGGAAAGCTCCGTCGGGTGGGAGGGACGCTCAGGTGGAAGGTGCGTCCCCTCCTCCCTCCCCCCGCGCCTCCATCCCCTGCTCCGGGGACGGCCAGGATCAGGAGAACAGAGAGGAGGAAAAGGTAAAAGACAAGAAGCACAAATCCTCTCCTTCACTTCCTGTCTCCCTTGATTCTCATTTTCTTTATTTAGTGTTTCTTTTGCTTGGTTCTTTTTTTTAATGTTTTCTTTTAATGCCTAAACATCACTTTGGCTGACCAACTCTCAATCCCATCCCGATGTGCTACTTTAATTTCTCCACCTGGGGTAGGTGGGGGGATGCATTTACACAGCGTGCTCAAATCTGATGTAGCTCCAGCTTAGTCCCGATCATTACAAACACATTCCCTTTTGTTCAAATTATTCGGACACTCATACTGGAGTGTCATGTTTGTGCTGTCAGTGTAAAACTCACCATGTCCTCTGCATGCTGATAAAATAACTTCCAAACCAGTTTGATTGCTGTCTTGTGCCTCAAATGGAGCCAGTTGCTCAAACATCGGTAGGTTTTTAAAATACTGTTCGTCCTTCCATATATCAGTTATACAGATGTTGACTTGGCATATTCATGTTTTAATATAGATTTTTATTTGATTGAGTTGAGTTTGGCATCCTGAGTGAGCCTTTAACGTGTGCTGCTTTCTGTTTCTATAGCTCTTTTGCAGTTTTAGCTGCTCGTTTCTTCCTTTACATGTCAAAAACGTCTAAAATTTCATTAGCACTCAGCCAAAATAAAATATTCAAAGTTGAAATGGCTTTGATGTACCGAGGTAATCAGGGGCGGAAAACTGTTTTCCAGCCTTGCTCCTTGAATCACATTTTCAATTGAAATGCACCACCGGGACGTCTCTGGGTCTTCTGATTGACTCGGAGCCTTTAATGCACCTTCAGCTCTGCAATGATCCAAACAAAATTCAGTGTAAGATCCACATATTAGAAATCCACAACTGACTCAGCATTTTTACCTGATGACAGATCTTTTTCCTGCCTTTGTTGATTGGAGATGTATAAAAGCCATTATGATTTCTTTAAAGGGGTGGGTATTATGTATTTTTCAGGCACATTCTACCACAATGCGGCATGTATGAAAAATAAATTTGAATTTGCATCATAGCATCTTAAAAAACACCTTGAAATTGGCCCCTTTCTCTTTAAAAACCTCCTACCGTTTCCTACACTTCCACTTCAGCTCGTCTTCACAACAATGCTTCATGTGCGTTTACTGAAGAATCTGAGTACAGAGACTCTTACAAGACATTTCAGCCTGGTAATATATCTCCCAGTCATCCTCTCATACATACGTATACGTCAATGTCAAGCTACTTTTTTGCAAAGAAACTATAAATATAGAATATTATGAAGCAAAATTTTTCAATAAAATCATGAACTTCGACCATTTTTTAGAGACGTTTTGCAATGAAATCATAGTGATTTGTAAAGAATTATCTCTCCTGCTGCTAGTCTGGTGGAACTGTGTGTAGGGGAGGTGCGATGAGGGAGGAGCTTTGTGTAAATAGGCGGGGCTTTGTGCCAGCGAGCGTTTAGGCAGCTCCACTTTACCACAGGAGAGTCAAGGATTTGTCAAACATGAATGAGTCAAAGCAACACTATGGGTGTGTTTTTTATGACAGAATGATATTAAAATATGATATAAAGCTCAAGAGTCGATTTTGCATAACACCCCCCCTTTAATAAAGTCACTACGTTAGCATTTATTTTTATGTAGACTAAAGCAGAGACCTTAGAAATTCTGCTTTAGCATTATTTTTCAAATCTGATTTATTTGACTCGTTTGGAGGAAGCAGTGAATAAATTCTATAACAATAACAAAGTAAAATGTTTAGACTCCATTAGAGGCCATTTCCAACCCCTTCAATCTGTCCTCCCTCTCTTGTCTCCCTTCTTTCTGTCTGCACGGGCACCATAATCAATCGATTTCTGCTCATAACCTTCCACTTCCTCACCTCTGACACCACCTCCTTCCCGCATTTTCACACATCTCCCCTCCACCACCACACCATCATCTGCCCTCTTCCTGCACATCCCACATCACCTGTTCTCATTATTTCTCTCTTTTTTTTTTGCCTAACATCTCTTCCTCGTTAATTTCTTTCTGCTTTGACTTTCCTAACTGCCTTATTCCATTTCTTTTTTTCTCTCTTCCTCCTTCGTTTCCGTCCCGTAACTCTGTCGTTCTTTACCCCTCTCCTTGCGCTCTTGTGTCCTCATCTACCACGTCCCCTCCTCGCCACTCAGCTGTTCATTCTCCCCTCCATCCTCCTTTTTTTCCTTTTTTCCACCCTCTCCTTTTCCTCTTTGACCAAGCTCTTTTTCCTCTACATTCTTTTTTTTGTCTTGTGAGTTATGTTTTTTTTTTTTTTTTCATGTTTTTATTGTCACTTGAACGGACACTATTTTGGTTGTCTTGTTTTTTCTTATTGTTGTGTTTCTTTGTTGTCTGTCATCTCTTCCATTTTTTTTTGTTTTGTTTGTTTTTTTCCTCCCAAAATGTCTCCTACCCCCATCTCTTTTTCTCTGTTCTGTTTGTTTTTGTTTTTTCTTCATTAACTTGCCCATGCATGCATGCAGCAGCCCGATTATAGGGACCAATCCGAGCCAGATGTGAGCGATGAAACTAAGGAGAATGGCCAATCTGTCAGCAGCGAGTCGCAAAATCAGGAACGCAGCCAGATGGAGCAGGAGACGGAGGCAGCTCAGGCTTTGGTGAGCTCACTGATGAACAACATGACAGCTACAAACTTATTCTGTGTCTGCTTTGGACATCAGATGGCTCATATCCAACTCAACCTGAAACCAGTTCTTTTAATACCAAAACAGAAAAACAAACATCTAAATATAGGCTATATATTTATTTAAATTTAAAAAATGCTCTGACCAGCACTGCGCTGTAAACACAACAAGCAGAGGTGCTTCGCTGTCAGCCAGGCCGCTGACAGGAGGAATAAACCTCTTGTTTGTTTGACCTTTTCGCCGGCGTGTCTCCATGGCGTCCGGCGCTCTGCTTGTCTGCGTCTTCATTCACGACGAAGAGGGCGGACGGGTCAGACACAAAAATAAGACCAGAGAGGAAAAAAGGAGAAAGGCAGATACAGATGGAGCCAAACAGGAAACCAGCACCAAGAGTTTGTATTCAGCGAGAATTTGGTGTTTAGAATAATTCTGCAGATCATATTTAACATGATGTGGGAAATAATTGAAGCTACCGTAGAAAGTCTTGTCTGTTTGTCTGCTGTGTTAGGTTATAATGTGCTTACAAGGAATTTGTAACACCCAGATACCTTCTCAAAAACTTGCCATTAACTGTTCATGTTGGCCTGAACTTTAGCTACATTTCGATTAGCGTTTTGTGTTAGAATAGCTTATTTTAGCCTCGATTATTAGCTTAGATTAAAACGGTTAAAGTTTAAAGTTAAACCTAGCCTGTTTCACTTTTTAATGTGGATATTTGGTCCAATAAGCGTAGCTAAATTTTGATTAGCCTATTTTGTATTAGCTTAGCTTAGTTTAGTCTTCATTAGCTTAGCTAGGTTGCACTCAAACATTTTAGGTTTTAAATGTTATGTTTGTTTTTGTTTTTTGTTTTTTACAATGAATTTTTACAATGAATTTTACAATGAAATTCCTGACCCATGTTACATTAATATGTAAAACTTTTTTTTATTATTATTACTTTTTTATCTTAATTCATTTCATTTTATAAACTACAGAGCCCACAAGGGGACATGGGGGATTATTTTCTTTTGTGTTCCCTCCCAATACTTTTAGTGTTCCCACGCAAAAGTTTGTTTTGTATTAACTGAATTAAATCAGACTTTTATTTTGAAATATCTGGTTACCAAAACAGGATGTGTCGCCACAAGTTCGTGAAATCGACATTGATGTTGCGTGGCTGCACTGTGTTAAAAATCGTATTTCCATGCGTAGCTGTGTGATATAGTCATTCCGAAGCTGAATTAAAGTAGTAGGCTAACTCGCTAATAGCATGGGAGTTTGTTGATAAACTGGCAGGCACAACAGTGATAAACGACTTTTGCGAGGGAACGCAAAAGGTATCGCGAAGTAACGCAATACTATTGCATGGGAACGCAAAAGAATAAAAAAAGTCTCCCATGTCCTCTCACGGGCTCCGTAAAAAACAAAACAAATTCTATAACAACAAAAAGTACAAATCACGAGTGAAATGAAAGCAGAAAGAAGAAAAGAAAATTATATTATCTTACCCTATTTTTCAAAAAATAATTTCAAATAATAATAATCTTCAAGCAACAAAACTCTTTGCTTATTATTATTTACTCTTAATACACACCCTAACACTGTTGCACATTTTCACGGAGCAGGTTTTTTTATTTATTTATTTTTTGACTAACTGTGGAGGCAGTTAGCAGGCAGGGTGGTGCTCCTGACTGAGGGTGATGGAGGGTAGAAACAGAGCATACTGGAGGATAAAAAAGGACATTAGTGGTACAGCGGTTGGTGGATGGATTGCACTCACTCAGCGGCGTAATGAGCCGTGGGAGAGTGCATGAGGATAACTGCGCGCGTGCGTGCGTGCGTGCGTGCGTGCGTGCGTGCGTGCGTGCGTGCGTGCGTGCGTGCGTGTGTGTGTGTGTGAAATGGAATTTAAAAGGTGCTGTAGCACAAAAGTTCTTTAATGTAGTTTTCACACCAACCGCCTTCTGGATTATTATTATTTTAGGCAACCAATCTTTTTTTTTTTATTTGTGTTGTACTTTCTTTCATTATTGCTGTTTTTTCTTATTTGTTCTCCACTGTTTTAATCAGTGTACTCTTCATTTATCACCAGTCTTTTTTGTTCTCCTCTCTATCCAGGCCAGTGTCCAGTTGTCCAAAGCAGAGGAGTCAGAAACTCAGGAGGAGCTGGAGAAAGAGAGGCAGAATTACAAAGACATCAGTCTCAAACTTTTACAGGTCAGTTTGCAATATTTATTATATTTATATTTATATTCATATTAATTGAAACCTTTCTATAGAAACAAACAGATGTTGAGCTGTTTAACAGTCTTGAATTTTTTCCCTCTCCTTCAGCTCCAAGAGGAGCACCAGAAGGCCTTACTGCGACGGGACTTCCAGCTGCAGAGTCTGGACCTCCAGGCTCGGCTCCAGCAGAAGCTGTGGAACCAGGAAAGGACTCTACTGGTCCAGGAGTCCCAGCACCTCAAACAGGCTCTGTTACTGCTCAGCCTCAAACTCCGCTGCTTCCTCAAACAGTGGAGGCTGGGCTGCAAGAAGGACGCAGAGTGGAAGGACGTTTTAGAGGTGCCAAAGTTTGTCTGTGTCTGTGTAACATGTTTCTATCCAAGAAATACAGATTAATTCATTTTTCTGGGTTGTGGTTTTAATAAAGACGACTTCTTGGGGTGGAAAAAAAACGGAAATTTACCGCGATGTATTTAAATCTAGACTTCATGTAAAGGGACACAATTTCACTAAATCCTAAATTTGATTGGTTCTTCAGATGAACAGCCTGAACGACCTGTACGTGTTGTTGGAGGATGACAACCTCTCCGGCCCCGCGACCCAAATGGACAAGCGAGATTCTGCAGATGAGCAACCACTCAGTCCAACTATAAAGGTAGAGAGATGGCAGCGTGGGCACACATTCATGGGACTTTTAGTGACTGAAATCCACTTCCTCTAAACTCACCTGAAACTGTTACCCTAACTTCAACCTAAACATGTCTTCAGCTTGTCCTCACAATATAAATAATACACACACACACAGCTGGTCTAATGGATTACCTGTGTTTCCCTGCAGTCGAGTGCTGTGAGCAGCACCTTGGCAGACCTGAGGGTTGCGCTGCAGGATCTGAGTGCAGAGTTGAGACAGGAGAGACAAGGCTCCCAGGAGCTCACCCAGCAGTTTGCCAAGGCCAAGGCATCTTGGGAAGTGGAGAGAACCGAGCTGAAGAGCCTCATCACGCAGGTAATAATGAAGTCATTGTGCTGCAAGTAACTTTACTAAAGCAGCTTGCGCAGTGGTGTAATCACAAACTAAACTTTGAATTCTTTCAAGATTTAATCACCTGAATAAGACAGCTTTTATAAACAAAGGACAGCAAACAATGTGTGAAGCTGATGAGGAGAAAGAGAAGATGAATTTTGCAAGTTTGTGCTCCAACCTATTGAGTTATGGGCTACACTTAGTTTTTCATCCACTAAATCACTCTATGGTCTTTCTTGGCCCACCTGTCTTCTCCTCAACAGATTTGCAAATTGTATGCCGGGTGGCTAATTTGGCACGGCTTAAAATGAAAACAAATGGGTACTTTAGGCTCTGCTGATTTTGGCCGATCAGCTCAACAATCTGGAGCAATCTTATCTGTCAGGACAGGGGACTTAAAGTGCCTGCGACATCAAACTTTTGTAATAAAAATGAATGTATTTTTGGAAGGATAACGCTAATAACATATTGCAAAAAAGATTTTGTGCCACTGAGATAAACAGTTGTTGAGATATTTGCATGTGAAGTAACAGGAAGTGATGTCAAAGGGGAATGTCTGCGTGTGAACACAGCGTTGTTAAAATGGCTAACAACACAGACTGTAGAGAAGAATCTGATATTTTTTTAGATTATTTTAATCACTACCATAGAGAGATGAGAAAGAGTGATAGTTCAAATAATATTGTTTAAATAAACAAAACCCAGGGAGTTTTCTTTTTCAAAGAGTTCCCCTTTGATGTCACTTCCTGTTTCACATCAGCTGAGCCAAATTCAAAAGAAAATGTGCCAATTATGTGACATAACAGGTAAAATCATGTGTATTATGCCAAGTTTTTTAAATATAAATATATTTTCTTTGACTTTTTTGGATTTCATGGATATGCATGTCACAGGCACTTTAAAGAGACGTGAGCTCAGACAAACAATTTCAGGCATGAGCTGACATTAGGTGCTATCACAATATAAACATTTTTTTAAAGCGTTTAAAATTGTTCTATTAAAACCACCCAAAAGTAAAACCTGAACCTGGATATTTTGTGTAAAGCAGCCTCTTTAAATTCCAGGCTAACCTCCGTCTGTGAGGTGGTTTATCTGTCTGTATAAACTGATTTGTTCTCTCAACTGCAAGTTTTGAGTAATGACTTTAAACTTCCTCCTCCCCTCCCTACTTTTATGTCTCTGTTTCATAACAGCAGCTAAAGCTGTAATAGTTTTAATTAACAGGCTCTCAGATGGAATACACCCTCTGTGTAATTGAGCAGATGAGCGACAGATGAATTAAAAGAGGGCAGAAGGCCTGTTAATACTGGGCAATTTGAAAAGGGCCTTTTAATATCTGAGGATATCAGGTTCTGGCATGTTGTCATTGGAAAAAGATCTATGTATAAATGTATAAAATGTCTTTAAATTCACAGCTTGTGTCTGGATTTTGTTTTGCGAACTTTATTATCATCTGGTAAACGTTGCTCTGAAAAAGCTAAATGTTTTTTCTGGAAAAAACATGTAAATTTGCATTATTTATCCATAGAAAACCTCCACTTATCACTTGTCAAAATGAAGATAACGCACTGATTTAAAGAAAAAAAAAGAGGATGAAAATGTTTCATAATGCAGTCAGTGTTCCAACACTGGAGGATCTTCTCAGCCTTATCTTGCTCCATCCAGCACCCAAAATTCAATATGACTCACAGAGATGCACACAAACACTGACAGTCATCGTTAATCATCGTCATGTTCTGAGCGAGTCGGGCCTTTACATTGAGGTACAAGATCATTTGTCTTCTGATGTCCCATAGCGGACGGGAGCAGCTTGCAAAGAGAGGAGATGCTTCCCCTTTCCCTTAAAGTGATATTCCTGCAGATTTTATGAGAGGGAATGAGCAAAATGTAAGGTTACTATCAAAAAGGATGGTATGCGTAAAGTCTAAATCTGTACATGTAAGTCAATAAACGTGCATAAATTTCGGGTTTGTAATTATAGGGATGTAAAATCAAATGTTATCTGTGAGAATACAAGTTTAGAAGTTACAAAGCTACAACTTTGCAGCAATACAAGTGCAAATCGCAAATTTACAAGTACAATTCTTCTACCCTGAGGAGCTGTCAAAATAACAGACATTATGCATGGAACTCTGAAAAGATCGATCGAACGTCATACTGCGCTTGCGTGAAAAAGACGGTGGCCGGCAGGTGCAAATGCGCAGCAAACAGTAAACGCTCTGCAAACGAAAGAAAAAATGCAAGGAAAAAAACACTGCAAAGAAAAGAAATGATAGATTCATAAAACCAACTGCATGTTAGAAAAATGATGCAAGTTCAAAAGCACATTGTACTTGTAACTCTGTGATTCGTACTTGTATTGTTGTAAAGCTATAACTTTGTATCTTGTATTTGTAACTTCTAAACTTGTACTCTCACAAATAAAATATTTGATTTTACATTAATACAAGTACAAATCTGAAATTCATGCACGTTTATTGACTTAAATGTACAAATATAGACTCGTACGCATACAATTCTTTTTGATAGTAACCTTACCCCATAAAAATGACTGCGTAGGATTCCAACAATCCAGAAAACGAAGCATTATTTCGACGTTTATCATAATTTTAGTCAATTGAAACCACACACAACCACCACAATGTGTGTATTTGTTTCATTAAATTAAATATCACATCTGCAAGCAATTTCTCTATTCCATCAGTTTGCTAAACTACCTGATTGTGCCAAAGCTTTCTGGCTGCTCGCCGTGGCTCCCCTGGCTGCTTAAACCAAACAAGTCAAAAGCATTTCGAACACTCTCCAACCTGTCAAGGAGAATGATGGGAAATTATCACTGTTCAGCTTCAGAAAGTGTCAACAAACTGCGGATAATGGCTGGAACTTTAAAACTGTTTTCCTTTCTGCGAATCCGTGAAGAGCCAAGGTCACCTGTTAGGTTGTGTCGGATCGTTTGGGTTGATCGGTCTTCCTGCCCCGGTCGTAGGATGGGGTTACAAACACATGCTGTTCCCGTAAAAACAGCGAGAGCAGCTGGAAGCTCTGATTCGCCGCATCTGTTCTGTGCTCTTCACTCACAAAGGATGACAGCTGCCGCATCAATTGGTAAATTTAACGCAGGTGGGACTCGGTGTTGTCCACGTGCGGAAAAAAAATGTTTTCTTTTAAGGTGCAGCCTGAAGTGTTTCTGATTTACCACCTTGATGGTTACGTGTAGGCGTGTGTTTGATGGAAGGACGTTTTGCTTGTTTCAGGAGACATTTCTGCTGAGGCGAGAATAAAAACTAGAAGCAAGGTGAACCAAGCGACTCGACTCTTTCTGAAAACAGAAAAAAAAAGAATCTGCTCGCTAATACCTTGTGAACTTTGTGCATTTAAAGCAAAAATATATATATATTTATTGTTTTTTCTTTCCAGTCGCCTAATGTATCCAGGAGTGCCTGCTACCCAAATAGAGGCTTCGAACTTACTGAATCTTAAGTAGCGAGTGTTAAATCAGGAGCCTCTGATGGACCAATAAACACCAGTCAGCCGGCGAAACAGCCTCCATTTTACTGCCTGAGCTGTAAACCTCGTTGAGATGAGGGTCTCATTAGGCCACGTTCAATAACAAGAAATACAGGGTTGCCATGAGAGACGGGAGCTGGGCTGAGCGTGTGTTTTACCGTGCCTGGTTGGCCGTCAGTACCATTAGCACCGCACACAGATGCCACGGAGCCAGACTCGTCGGGACAGAGGGAGGATTGATGGGTCTGGGAGGTGTGGCTGTTGCAGAGCCATCGTCTGCGCCCGTTTGTCAAACTGATGGGTCCGTGGTGTTGGCTGTGTGCGGCGTGCGGCTCAGACACGGACAGGAAAAATGTAAAACTCCTCATAAATATTTTAGGCCATGCCACCTACAGGGTCTGTGACAGCAGGCTGGAAGAGAGGGTGAAAGACGGGGTGGGACAGCTCTAAATAAAGGGTGAGACGTCTGCAGGGATGAGAGGTGATGAGACGGGGTAGAAGGAGGAGAGAGGCTAAACGACAGGGAAGATGTCAGGAGGAAGACAGAAACAGAAAAGTAAAGGAAGACACAGTACGCATTAATGCTGGGACTTCCTCTTTCAAATAATTGGTCCATTAAGAGTCTGATTCCTGTCAGTATTTGTAGACTTTTGTTTCTTTTCGTCTGTTTCTATTGTAGGAACTTTGAACAAATAACATGTTTCTGAGGAATATTTTATTATTGTGTGCTGATTCAACTCTCACATTATTGTTTCCCTGTTTTTGTTTCTCTGCACATTTTTTGCAGTCTAATGAATTCTGCCTGCGTGCTTTGTGTTCTTTATATATAAAAACATCCAGCTGCTTTTTCAGGGAATGAGTGCTTCGAATTCTGTTTTTTTTCTTGTAATTTTTTTACTTTTTAAAAGTATTTAACTTTATTTCAGAAGAGATACAGTATATAAAGTACTTAAAAGAAATAACTAAGTAAAAGTAAAAATTCTTTTACAGTATATGACTGGTAAAAATAAATTTCACCTATAAGAAAAGTACATACCAGTAAAACTGCTCACAATAATCAGAAAAGTAAAAGTACTGTTATACACACTCTAATAAATGATGTGTTAAATTTACTTAACCAAACTGGTTCCATTTAACCGAGTTGCGTAAATTAAGCAGTTTACACTGATTATTTTTTTAAGCTTGGTACGTCGGTTTCTCAACTGTTGCCCGTCCATTGGTTCTGTCATCTCTTAAGCACAAACTCCCACTTTTCTTCTTTAATTACTACAAGTTCTTTTAGTTAGACGTACATGTTTGGTATCTACAGAAACATCCAAATCTTGACTAACGGCTGGTAAAAAACCATTTCTATGATCATCCAAGACAGTTAAAACGAAAGTTACGTATGTAACTACGGTTCTATGAATCCTGAATAACTGCCAGAGTGCGGTGCTAAAAGCACTGAATATTCCCTTCGCAGCCTCCTGCCCTGTAGGCGTGGCAGATGACATCCATAATCCAGTGGGAGAGACACTGTTTTGAAAGGGGATGGCCTAATCTAGGGCCTCCATAACATAAGAACAGCTGGTCTGAGCGTCTTATAGGAGCAGTAGCAGCAATATATGTCTCCAACGCCCTCACTGGGCACGATATGTCAGGCCTATCGCCAGTCCCTCCTGACGTAGGCGGAAAACGCGCCAATCTCAGTGGCTGGTTACAATGGAAATGCGAAAAAACTTTAGGGACAAATGCAGTGTTTGGCCACAAGGTAACACCAGAGCCATCTGGGGCCCATTTGAGACATGACGGGCTGGCAGAGAGAGCATGCAGCTCGCCGACCCTTTTAGCTGAGACAATAGCTAATAAAAATGCTGTCTTACATGAGAGCCACTTGAGGTCAGCCTGAAGCAAAGGCTTGAAGGGAGTGTGGCGCAGGGCTTCGAGGACCAAGGGCAAATCCCAAGCAGGTGCCCGCAGAACTGTTGGCGGGTGCAACCTGCGAGCGCCACTCAGAAAAAGAGAAACCAGGTTATGGCTTCCAATTGTACCACCATCAACGACAGCATGATTAGATGATAGTGCCGCCACATATACCTTAAGTGTTGATGGAGAGCGGCCCTTTATCGAGGAGAGATTGAAGAAACTCCAGGATAGTGGGCACCACACAGGAGACTGGGTCCTCATCGCGGTCAGCACACCGCTGGGAAAACAAACGCCACCTGTTTTCATATTGCTGACGAGTAGAATGTGCCCTAGCACTTAAAATAGTGTACCTGACAGAGTCTGAATATCCAGTCAGCTGCTGCTCAAGCCTCCCAGTGGCCACACCCACAGCCTGAGGTGGTGAGGATTGGGGTGCCAGATCAGTCCCCCCCGACTGAGACAATAGGTCCCTCCTGGTTGGAAGACACCATGGAGCATCTTGACACAGACTCCGTAGAAGTGGGAACGTGATGGAGGGCGATACACCGCTACTCCAGCCAACTGGCAATCGGGACGTCCAAACGACAGCGAAATATTCCACAAGAGAAAAGAACTGTATGCGAGAAGAAAAGAGGAACAGAGCTTCGGATGACGTCCAGCTATATAGCCTCTGATTAGTCATCCGATTGGTCACAGGTGTGACTGTTGGTATTACAGCTCGAATGGTGCATGTGCAAAGGGAACGTTCAGTGCTTTTAGCACCGCCCTCTGGCGGTCAGTAGGGATGAAATAGAACTACAACCAGTTTGAAGATAAAACTATGAAAGTGAAAATAAAATTGGTTTAAAAATTTGGCAAGTCAGAGATGTCAAAATAATTATGGTATAATGTGTTAATGTATTTTTTTAGATTGTTTTAATATCACTACTTTTATTACATAGGGTTCTGTAAGTTAAATGCAGCAAAATAAACTATTTGAAAAGGTAACAGATATTTTTAACACTTGGCTTATTTTCATAATGACTTTAATTCCTGGATGTTTGGCCCCTGAGCTGTTGACCTGCCTTAACTGTTGCCCCTGGAGCAATTTGGTTGAATAGCCTAGTGGAACCAGTTGTTTAACTTGGTTAAATAATTTCAACACTTCATTTTTTATAGTGCATAACCAACTCTTCATGAGGAGGTTGGTCGTATTTAAATTTGTGACATGTAACGAGGTCTTAAAATTTAAAGTAAAGACGTTAGAGTGTCATTTTATGTTTTGAATGGAACAAAATAAAAGTAAAAGTTACAATTAAATCCTCAAAAAAACTACTTAAGTACTGTAACGAAGTGAATGTACTTACTATACATGTCTGACTTTCAGCTAACATTTAGCTACTTTTGGCTTCTTGCTAGTGTCTTGCATATGTTAGTGTTACTGGCTCAGCTGCTCTTTGCTTAAAAGAAATTAGAAATGATTGCAATTCCTGCTTTGTGTCTTCCAGCTTGAGAGCAAAGCAGGCAAAGCGACCCTGTCTTCCTCCGAAACGCCGGACCCCATCGACCTGAAGGTGGCGCTCAAAAAGGAGCGCGAGGAGCACCAGCACCTCCTCGCTGAGTCCTACGCAGCGGTAATGGACCTAACTAAACAGGTAAATATGAACATGGATAAAAACCTGTAACAAACAATAAAAGTGTAACTTGAAGAGTCAAGCTGAGGTTTGGAAACCTGATATTTTTTAAAATGAATAAACTGAGCTGTATTAGTGACAGGATGCACATTTACTCTAACTTGTCTCTGTTTTTTTTTTTTTTTTTTTTCTGTTTCCATCTCCTGGTTCGTTTGGCTCATCGGACCTGCGGAACCGATCAATCGTTCTGTCGGTCAGCTTCAAATTGGAGAGAGGAACTGGAGCAGGGAGAAGCTGGAGCTGCTGGAGCGGTTCAGTCAGGAGAGAGCTCAGTGGGAGCAGAGACTGAGGGAGGCCACTCAGCAGGAGCTGGTACGATGAGCAGTTTTATGTATCGAACTGAGACATGTTGGAGGTTCTGTTAGAGGGTGTATCAACCAAATCCAATGTTTACCTCCTACTTTAATTTATTTTAACCTGAATATTGTATGAAGTTGTAAAAATCAGATCAGCGTGTCAGGAAGGAATGATGAAGTTTATTTGAAGTGTTTAGTTTCATAAAGACCACCTTTCCTCACCTTCTTTCCTTTCCTTTCTCTCCATCTCCTTCCCTCTTTCTGTTTAGTTCCTAGTGCAGAGGAAATGGAGCAGGAGTATATACTTGTCATTTTCAGAAACTGTTTTGTGCTCAGTCACCCACACTTCCCAAGTGTTTTCACTCTTCTTGTAAAACCAACGACCGTGCAGACACTTGTGATGTTTAATCGTGGCGCCCCCATTAGGCCAGTTAGTGCAAAGCCTGCCGGATTGTTCGGCTGATCTGACGGTTTGTTAAAAGAAGGTCTGAAATTTAGGAGGGGGTGGGGGGGTGCACGGAACTGGAAACTGATTTAGCGTCTCTAAAGCTCTCCGTGAGCACAGTTTCCTCATCCTGACAGCTCGGGCTTCGGCTCACTGAGCTGCAGGTGGAGGTGGAAAAATGTGCATCAGCACAACCGAACAGATTATCTGCAGATGTAATTCTTCCTCCTTACAGTCTCCCTCATCCTTTCTTTTTACTTTGAAAGGAAATTACTCATTAGTTTTAGATCAGGCTTTCAAGTGTGAGACGCAATGAGTCAGCATCATTGTGTGTGCGTGTGTCTGTGTGTGTATATACTGTATATACTTGTATTTGTTACCTTTTAGGACTGTATCTTGTATATACACCTACCTCGCAAAGACCAGTAGTCCTTATGGAGGCCAAAGATCAGTCCTAATATGGTGGAACTCCATTTTTAGGTTGGAGGTTAAGTTCAGAATTACAGTGTGAACTGAGTTTAGGTTAGCTTTAGGGTAAGGGGTTAGGCTATAGAAATGAAAGGAAGTCAGTGCAAAGTCCCCATGAGGATGGAAATACAAACGTGTGTGTATATGTGTGCGTGTGTGTGAAAACATTCACTGAGGAAATGAAAATGAAAAGTAAAATCCTGAAGGTGTAATAATGTCTCCATGATTCCGGTCATTTAAATGTTAATTAGTTGCAAAAAACCAAACAAATGCTTTCCTATAAACTGATCGGTTTGTTTTCCCTCCCAGTCGAAGCTGCCGGCCGATGAGTCGGTTTCAGACACAGCTGTTGCTAATGGATCAGTTTTACCAAGGTAATTGAATCAGCCAATGAAAAGCGCTGCTGCTTGTTCTGGTCTGATTGTGAATATTTTCCATTAATTAAACTCTGTTAATAATCCGTATATTATTATTACTCCTAGGTGTTGTGTTTATTGTGACAGCACAGCCTAACTTCTTCTTCATTACTTCTTTTGTTTAAAGGATTAAATCCACATTAAAAGAGGAGGGCCCAGATTGCAGCAAAACTGACAGTCAGGAGGAGAAAACGTTTGATGCGCGCCCCGAGCTCGGTCACATGACCAGGAAGAACTGGACCTACCTGAGCAACGAGGTTTGTAGATTTTAATTTACAAACTTTAGAAAATCGTTGAGCTTATTTTATTTTATCTTACTTTTTTTTAAATCTTTTTCTACCTCTTATTTTATCTTTTTTAATGTTCTGTTTGCTACGGTTGTTGTTTACATTTTCAACTTATTTTATCTAACTTTCTTATTCATTTTTTACCTCTTATTTTACATTTTTTAATGTTCTGATTATTTGCACTACGGGAGCTGCAAAGTTATTTCGTCGTTCATTGTCTGTGGACCTCCGTGTTCTTTTCAGTGCAGCAATGTCAATAAAGATTTATCTTATCTTATCTTATCTTATCTTATCTTATCTGATCTTATCTTATCTTATCTTATCTTATCTTATCTTATCTTATCTTATCTTATCTTATCT